TCTTAGGCATATTTCAAATAAAATAACAGAGCATAAAGTACACGATTTCTCCTTTGTTCTTATAGTAATCTTGCACCGAAGTTAAAAACTACTTGTTCACTTGTGTTAAGTAGAAAAACGTGTATAAAACCTATGGGGAAAAATTAAATATTCAAAAATGAATATAAAATAAGGTGATGATGTCATTATGACGTCATCCCTTTGCAATAAATCTTGCATCGGGGTCTTCGTTGGCTATCACTTTGGGAACGATCAAAAACTGCAAAGTTACCAAAATTGTCGCTCAAAAACGTGTACAAAGTCAATGGGCTAGAAACACGTGTGTAGGAAAACTGCTCCTTTAATTTCATGTCACGTGATTTTTGTCTAAACTGGGAAAAATTATGAAATATTATTTAATAATTGGACACTTGGGTATATTTGCGATCGAACGGAAGGGAAAATTTAGTCTGATTTCTTCTTCGTTCTGGTAGTAATTCTCGGTCGAAGTTGAGGACTGCTCACGCATTATGCGGGACAATGTGCGTACAAACCCTACGTTGTGCAACAACGCCATGCATGGTTCAATATGGGACAGTTTCTTGACAATTGAAAGCCCAGGCAGGTGTGACCGTAATTCTGCAATAGCAGAATAGATAGGACAATCCGAAAACTGTGTGCAATCTGTGTACAAAGTCTATGGGGGAAAATTAATTCTTCAAAAATCAATAATAAACTACGTAAGTTATCACTGTGAATTTCTTCTAGGACCGTCCTTGGATGATCACACAACTATCCTCCAAGTTTGAAATTGTTCTGATTTTCCTAGGTGCCGAAGTGTAGGGGTAGAAAAATTTGGCTGAAGAAGAAGAAAAAAAAAAGGAAAGAAAAAAAAACCAGAACGATTACAATACTGGTTCTGCTGAACTGCCGAACCAGCTAAAAAACCAGCAATGAATTTAAGTGTATATACGTGGATTTAAGGGGAAATTTTCAAAAAGAAAGATGCGGCTTCGAAAACGATAAAGGTAAAGATCTGAATATCAACTTACTTTCTCTTACTTGGCCCAACATGTGGAATAGGTACGCCATGGATGGAATGTATTTACCTATCGTGTGTACAAATTGCAATGGAATGACCCAGGGTGTTGTTGAATGGGAAAACAAACTACATGTAAATAAAACAGGTACCCCTTTTGGGGGATCCCACTTTCCCCGTGGCACTTTTGAAACTGCAGATGTCAGCAACTCAATGTAATCTCTGTATACTAGCTTCTGAAGTTTTGTATAGCTTAAAAGCATTACATACATATATACACGCATACTTTAATGTGTAAATTAATCTTGTATCTGTGAAACAATGGCTTTAACTTGATGAGCACTATAAAGGGTGAAAAACAAATAAACAACTACGTGTGTTTACTGCTGTCACTGTGACTGTTGCCTCCCAAGGTGATCCACTATTTGCATGTGTCATTATTCCTCCTGATTTGAGTCTAAGGGAAAATTGTACGCTCTTTGGTTCAACATGTTTTTGCATTATATTCCCTTTAACTAGGCTGAGATAAGTTGCAATGCTCTGGTTCACCGGAATCCAACTTCTTATGTATGAAACTGTTTCAGACTGGCATTTTCTGTGCCTGTTATATTAATTTTAGTGATTTGCAATCGAAGCATTAGGATACCATTTGCAATTCAACGAAAGTCTTACACAGACACATGGTCTTCTGTAATGCAATTCAGCAATTTTTCCCCGAAATTTTAATATCATTTGGCACTTACATTATGTACGTATGAACTTTTCCTTCATTTAGTAAACGCATGCAGGCCTATGTCCCTAATGAGGACTAAAAAGTGGACTAGATGAAATACTTTTGTATTGCTTTATATACTTTTTCTGAGTAACTCAGTCTAGGTGAATTCCTCACCATAACATATGACTGGCAAATGGTTATTTTAACAATTGTAGGAAGCGACGACAGTTGACTGTTGGCACAATTTCTGACCGCAAATGGCACGCACTTTCTAAACTTTAAAGAGCAAAAATTCACTCCTAAAAAAACAGGGAGTAAATCATTCAATCATGTGCTAACTCAAGACTTAATTTCATTTGAGTTTGTGCTTGGAGTAGATTTTCTTTTCAAATGATCTCTGAACTAAGTGATTTCACTTTATAAATGCTTATTCTAGAACCTAGCTTTGCGGTTTGGGAACCGAGAAAGCAGGTTTCATCTTCATTTCTACTGATCCCTAAGGTAAAGACACTGACACTTTGAGAATTCCAGCAACTGACGTCTCAACATACATGTAGCTCATTTAGTAAAGAAGAAGTCCATCATTCCATGGGGCAGGTTCAGGCCCCACATTAGGTTGCCTTCTGACTTCACAGAGATTCACAGTTACATTAAGCCCACCAAATTTCTGAATGTTCATCTATTTTCAGTTTATATTCACTTTCCCCATTTTCCGGTCCTCCATACCCCTCATCCTGTTCCAGGACAGTTACATACTGCATGTACAGTGGTCTGTCTTTTCCACTGTTCGTTATCATATCAAAGCGATCCCTACATTTCTCAAAGGTTCTTTCGAAGCAAATGAAGTAGATTGGCACTCCACTTTCATCTCTCAGTTTGCCTTTGAAAAAGTACCCGCCTGTCTGTGTGGGTAGTGGAATGCTTTCAAATACGTGATGCCTCCACACCTTGAGATGCCATGGACGCATCTTTCCTTTCCTGACATACAAGGACAAGTTCAGCTCTGCTATCAGGATTCGATCGCCGGGAGGTACAGAAGTTGTATCAGCAACTGAAAGATAAAGATGCATGTATTGTGTGAATACTTTGTAATTAGGATAGTGTCCTTACTGAAACAAATTGAAGAATGGATTTGCTAAAGTTTTAGAATGTATTATGTTGTTATCGCCATAAAAATCCAACTGAAGAAGTTGATTCAAAGTTCAATTTGATTTCAACCAAAAGGGACCCTCATAAAAATTTGTTTTTATTTTAACACGCAAGAGGTACATTAGAAAATGTGAAAAAACAGTACAGAGTAAATGAAGTTGTACATACGAAGGGAGTGATCAAAAAAATCCACAAATGAAAATGAGGAATGAAAAAAAAAATTAGTCAAAATTAGAAACGTTGATAGCTCATATAAATTGCACCCCTTTGGGAGCAAGACACAAACCCACCTTTTACATTATACATATCAAAAACCTGCTTCAGGGAAGGCAAGTGGGACAAAAAAAAGAGACCATTTTCTTTATAAATAGAAGAGAATTTCTTTTCCGTCATCCTCCCTAAAGTGTTTTAAAAGCCTCAACATACAGTCTCCTCGTCAGAAAGGCCATGACAATTGCACACAAAAGAAAGATTTGTTTGCCCAGCCCCAAAAAATCTCGCCCCACTCCTTCCATAAACTTGAGAAATTAGGGGTCCCTGTTACATCTTGTCCCTGTTACATCTGACTTGCGATTTTGTAAGTTCAGAACACATTTTCTAATTTCCAAGAGTGATGAATTAATGCAAATTACCCTCAAAACAAATAGTAATAGTTTGAAATCAACTCCAGTGATATTTCCATGTCAAATAACAAAGGTCAGATGTAACAAGGACATGAAAATGTCACACTGTTGGACCCCTAATTTCTGGAACTGCCCTTATACCATGTGTGTAGAGTTGCTTGATAAAGCCCATTTGAATGTACAACTAAACCCCCGATCCAAGGCCATGCCCTGATGCAAGAAAAAAAAAAGAATAACAATATTCATAATGTGTCTGTTCGTACCACAATGGAAAGGCAATGGTCTCTCCTCTTGTTTGCCAGGTCTCTGATATCCCTCCTCAATTTCCTTGTTGGCGACGTCAGCTGTGTATGAATACAGACAAATGCAGGCAGACATATTAGTCCCTCATTATGTACCCTGAATGACATGGCCAAAACAGCAACAAAAAGGCATAAAATGATGAAAGGAAACTAGAAGTGGTCCCATGAAAAACTACAGTTAACACTCTTAAAGCACGCTCATTCGGGTAGTTCTACAAACCTCATAACAATGATGTGTAAAATCTGGAATCCAACGTACCTTACCAAAGGGGTTTGAAAAAGTGGCCATCTACATGTACATAATATTTTGCACCACAAACTTCCGTTTCTTTCAGTGTTAATCATGGTGTCTGGCGTCAGTACCCATGAACATTTTTGGTAAGAGTTCCACATACAGACAACACTAATTTCTCCTTAAAATGTTATAACAGCCATCAAAATGTGAAAACATGTCCCAAAAGGTGAAAAGTAAGGTCAGAGATGCAAATACCTGAATCTTTGACATCATCACGTTCTGCAGACTTCACCTTCTTCCTTGGACTGACAAATAGTGTATCTTCATCTCCTACTGTCAATATCAAGGACTCTGTTTGCAAGAAGGCCATAGTACTATTATAATTTCAGCGACAAACTAACACAAAGTGTTAATAAACCGAGAGTGATCGAATCTTTGAAATAATCATGTTCTGCAAGACTTCATCTTTTTCCTTGCTTTAACATCATCCCCTGCCATGCCTGCTTTCAAATTCAACATTGAGGACTCTGAGCAAAGCTGCAGTAGTGTTATTTCAGCACTGCAGAGAATCAACAAGAAGTTGACAACTTATAAAACAGGTCACCCTTAAGAATCATTAACATGCAAAGACTCACTTGAATCTCTCTTCAGACCGACAAGAGTTTCTAGCACCTGCTCCATCGTGGGTCTCTGCTTGTAATCTGGATTCCAGCAACTCCTTAAGAGGCATGCCCACCCTTCCGGACAGTCTTTGGGTATTTCAAGTTTTTCTTTGTTTTGAACAACTGCAACATAAATTTCAAGCATAAGCTTCCCTGCATGGGGAATCTTGCCAGTAATCATTTCCCACATAACTACAGCATAGGAGAAAACATCTGCCTTGGTTGTAACTTTAGGTCTGGCATTCCTTTTTTCATGATCATGAACAATGCCCATGACCTCTGGTGCCATCCAGGGAAATGATCCTCTGTGAGTATTGGTTGAAACTGTATAAACATGTTCCCTGGCTGTTCCAAAGTCAATTATCTTTAGAGTGTCATCTCTTGAAAGGACGAAATTTGGGGACTTCACATCCCCGTGCTGGTACTTCATTCGATGAATGTAGCTTAAGGCCTCTGCACCCTCCTGAGCCCATTTCATGCACAGATCTTTGCTAACTAGTGGCCAGTTTTTAGAGATTATGTTGTACAGTGATCCTTTCTCAGCATATTCAGCAACAATGACACAATGATCTGGAGGGATCTTGCACTTTACGACTCCCCAAAACTTGATGACATTTTTGTGGCACAGCTTAGCCAGAATTCTGGCTTCCTCCTCTCGAAATCGAATGCAGCTCTTTGCAGTGACCTGCTGGGTAGGGTATCCTTTAGGACTCCATTCTGCTTTGTACACTGAATTTCTGCCCTCGCTTGAACTTAATAGCTTACCGTATTTCAAGTCGGATTCGTCGATTATATTATAGCCTGGCTCTTCCATCTGATCATGCACCTTTCTTGTAATATTTTGGTAGGTGGTACAGGTAGGTTATGTAGTAGACAGTTTCCTACGCCCGAGTAAGCTCAAGTTTTTAACTTATTTCAATGGCAAAAGCCACAATTGCATTACAAACTGTACACAACTTCCCGCGCGTATAAATTTGTGTACATAAACCTATGTGTGGGGCCCACACAGTACGAGATCCCGAACATGTTCACTTTCATCACTCCACGCAGTTAATCACCAGAAGGAAGATTGATTAAATATCGTCCTTCTGCAAGAATATAGGATCCACTGATGTTCAAAAAAGTTCATTTCACGCTCCGAACTCCAGCATTATTCCAAGCGTGAAGCTAACCGCCACCAGTTAAGAGACAGATTGTAAAAGAGAGCCACTACAGCCCTACTTGTAGGGCTAGCATATGAGCAGATATGGCCGGCCTGGGAGAGACGAACATTTAGATAGTGGCGGTTAGAAAATAGGCGGGAAAGCTGTAAGCGCCAGTAAGGTGATTTTTGATTAGCGGTGTGAGAAAATAATTATGTCATGCACCTGCACCAGGGGAATCCCCGGACATTTAGCTGGTCCTCGTCACTTAAGGTTGCAAGCGCAACTGTATAAGGTGGGTGACGGTCATCAACATTCAATGATTACAACATTAATAATAAGTGTTATTTTTGGCTCACGAAGTCCTGAGATCATAGGCCATGCTGAGCTTCAGCGTTACTTTGCAAATAAAGTATCGTTTATCGAGCTGTTTCTCCGCTATTTCCGACAAGTATGGCCCCATATCTACCGCTGTTCATCAAATAACTTGAATCCAGCTGTTACTTCATGAATAGCACGACACAACTCCGTGGGCCTACAGAGCCTATGCCGTGCTGTTCACCCTCAAAGCTTTTGTGCTTAAATTGTTAATGAAAAGTTACCCAGCTCTCAGTCTATGCAGGAAATACCCGCTGTGACACGCTCCACTGACATGCTGGAGGAAGGAAAGGAAACGGTCAGGCAGGGTTGATTTTAATTTCAAATGAGACATTACCCACTGGTTGCACTCTATAGCCTCCATGCTGATAAACTTGAGCAGGTTCTGGGTTGCTCAAAACCTTGTGCAAATGTTAAACCATCAGAAAAACATGGATGGGTGAACAAAACAGTAACTTCCTGGAACCTTGTACTGTGATTTGTGTCTGTTACAATATGTTGCTGATGCTTAATCACAACAAATTTCATATACTTGCCCTGATCACAACTATACTACACTGTGAGAAGGAAAGGAAATTCCCTGCTTCATCAGCTCAGTAAAACTTAAGCCATAAAGAGTGAGAAGGATTGTGCGAATTACTGCCTCTATTTTAGGAAGTGTTTAAAATAGAACAGAAAAAGTTAGCCATAACTTTCCTGCCAGTAGTAACCCATACATGTATTAGCTTTGCAGTATTTGAATTTTTTAGATTAAAATTTGTACATTCGATCTTTGAAATTTGCTGAAAGTGTGGAACCATTTATTAAAAATGAGTTCACTTAAGTCCTGAAATATGCCTAGAAGTCAGGACATACAAGCATATTATTTTGATTTGAGATTTACTTTTAATGTACTTTAAAGTGTTGAAAATTGAGCAGCACATGCAGGAAAAATGGAGTAAACATATCTGTTATAAGCTGGGACACAAAGAGTCAAAAATACATTTTACTTTCGAAATATAATGAGAGATCTGTTTCATTTCCCTTCCTTCACAAAGCATGTAAATAGTCCCAAATCATAATCTTGCCTCTCAGAGAGGCCATAAAAAGTTTTATGAAATTCCCAAGGTTTGCCCCCCTTCTCCCCCCCCCAAAAAAATAATACTGTCCCCCCCCAAAAAAAATTGGGTTCCACATTCGTCCTTGAAGATGGATTTCATTAAACAACTTATTCATTGGCTCAGAAATGATTCGTTTACTTTGAGAATTGAACTACTCAACACTATCAGCAAAATTTCGTTTCAGAGTTCAAAGTACATGCACATACCCTACCGAGCTGGGGTATGATTACACCTCATGTTTTGTTTAATAAGTCTAAGTTCATAAATGTATTGTTTTTTTCTGTTGACACGGCAAAGAAGCCTTTGAGATCAAGACATTCAAATGTATGTACATCAAGCAGAGCAGAGTCATCAGCACGGAAGAAAAATGTGCACTCTTTTACTGTCCATATAAACCCCAACAGTCCTCAATCCTTCACCTGTTGGTGGACTGAGGACTGTCAGGGTTAATAGATTTCTGAAACTTGTCTTGTTGTTTTCAACTTGTGTGCATACCTTTTGAAAGTTTCTGTTTACTATTTGTTTAGGTTGCTGTTGCCACAGGGAAGCGACCTTTCAGAACGATGAGAATGCATACATTCTCAATGTAGATTTGTAAATTTATTCACATACACGTACAGACACAATCTGCCCTGAAAAGCTGAGAGGGGAGCAAATTGCTTACATACGCTGTATAGTCACCTAAAAGTAGCTATTGAACTGTGTCACCAATGCTTTGACAGGTCCAGTCTGATCAAAATAATTGACAATGATGACATGTATTTGTCTGTTCATTTCACTCCTACAGTTAATCTAAACTTAACCAATGGCCTCCTGCAGAAATCGCAGCAGCCACGACCAGTGAAGGAATCAATGCCTATCGTACCAGCCATCTTAGTGAACTGAAGCATACAGTAAATGGTGATTGGCATTTCTGGGCTAGGCTACATGTAATTCTCAAAGAGCTTGATCAAAATTTACGTAGGCCTACATCTACACCTGCCATACTTACCAATTTTTTTCCAGGTGATCAAAGAAGAACAGAATATGTTTACAAAGAAATTGAAAATTCTAGTCAAAGGAAATGGTACACTTGAAAAACTTGCAAGTAATGAAACCAGTGAAGAGAGGGCAGGAGTACACTTTGAAATTCAATGAGCAATCACAGATAGAGGTACAGGGTTAGCTCAGTTACTTCTCAGTCTTGGTGAGCATAATACAAACAGTTTGCTCTTGAATTTAATTCCCTCCCCCACCCTAACCTACTCCTCAAAAATAAGCTCACTCTGATTGACTTTTGATATACTGCTTTCAGTTTCAGAAACAAAACGTTGTTCCACATGTGCCAAGAATAGAAATCATGCATTAATGCATTAAAGGATCCAGGAAATGAATTTTTCTTAGAATCACATTTTGTGTATTGCTGTACTCTTCTTCCATGTATGAAGACTGTTGGACATCTTTTTTGATTTACGTGAACTGAACGGTGCACTTTTTCAAACATTAAAGATTGACTGAGCATTTCTGGACAAGCGAGGGCACTTTTGCTTTGATGTAAATCCAGGTAGACATGGTTCAGGTTGCAAGCTTTCATGTTCAAATTGTGAACCCAAAATTTGCTATCTGGGAACATTCCTGTGGAAAGAATTTTTGCCCTATATTTACAGAGCAATAAATTGCCAAAGAAAATGAAATCTGTCATAGCAGTGTATAAAAAAAATCTAGAAATATTCTGTGCACAAATCAGTGCAATATTGAGATTCAGTGCCTTGGATGACATCATACTTCTGCTCATGAATATGCAAATATCATTAGCATAAAACTGAAAAGGCATCAAAATATGGGTTAAAATTGAAAACAAAAATTTAAATCAGCTTAATTGAAACCCGAAAATGCAATTTCAAGGGTTTTTAATGAAATTTATAAAAATATTTCTATTTCTTGGTTCCTTTAATGTTAATGTCATCAATATTTTAGCCTGTATGCCATTTCTATCTTATTACAAATTCCAAGAATGTGTTGGCTCTGAATACTTAACGTATACAGACCGGGAGAATTGACAATAAAATTATTGTATCCCCACTCCCTTGATGAAAGTAGGTTAAGCTCGATCATATGACAGCCTTTATTAAGAGGTTTTAAACTTTTTTCCTGACTTTCTTATGTCTAAGTTTAAACATTTTACACTGTAAATGTTGTATGTAGTTTACATGTACATGTAAATGCAAGCTACCGTGGACTCAAGTGTTTAAGGTCTTTTGTGAAATTTGTGATAAAATGTTTAATCCTCATTCATATTGTATTACACAATGACCACAACAAACAAAAATAACTTGTGTTGCCGATTACATTTAAATAGTGGGTACGCAGATAACATTTTTTTCTCCCTTTAAATTCACTTAGCCAAAATGTTTCATTGGAATGATGTTGAAATCCTTTTCAGTCATAGTCAGGAAGTGGTAACGTCAGACTAAAAACGTGGTAACGACACTACACATCAACACCAAGGGTTACTCTGGGGGTGGGTGTTCCCCTGTTTTTGAAAAATGAAAAGCAGATGTTTGGGTCTATTTCATTTCCATTCCTACAAAACTATGTAAAAAGCCCCAGAATGTAGCCTTGGCCCTCAGAAAGGCCATAAAAGTTCATGTCATGAGGAAGGAATGACGGCGGCCAGATTTTTTTTCAGTCTAGCAAACACTGAGCTGCACTGGAAAATCATCTCAGCACAAACTTCTTCAAGAGTATATACATTTAACCTTAGAAATCATTCAACCATATACATTCTATACACAATTCCTCAGCAGTTGCTAAACTTCGAATTTGGCTTCTAGCAGTAAGCCCTGGAAAGGAAACTTTCCTCTGGTATCCTGATTCAGTGCAGCAACAGCAAGGAAATTAGCTTTTGCATTTGGTGTTTAAAATTTTAACATAGATTTTGTTTCTTTGAAGTTGCTCTGAATTATTGCACCCATTTCCAAACAGTCAGTCCAGTCTTCTCCATTTTAATCACATTTTTTGGAAATGATACTCCATATTGGCTGGATGAGATTTTGACTTTAATCATTGCGAGAAACCCCGCTCCTTAATACAACACGCCATACTGAATTGACTCTGTGTTACTATACCAGAAAATGCATTCTAAAACCAAAGTTGATTGAAAGCATAGTCAGGCACCAGGCTATTCCTCATATAGGTGCACTGCTAGACACCATGGGGATGAAGATGTTCCATATGGTACCATTATTTCTTCTACTACACTGAGCGAGCAAGGTCAAGTCAAACCCGAGTCTTTTCAGTGCTAGCTACTGGCACAGGTGCTCAGTGGGGCCTAATCTTTAATTTACAAGTACAAATTATAACTGGCCTCTGTATACATGTACTTAGAATTGTATACTTTTACATCTACTCAAATAAATGCAGATGTAACAATTCTCTGGTGAAATTAAAGGCCTCAACTTCTTGTACATATATACCCATGCTACATTTCTCAATTTGTCTTGTGTGTGGCATGATATGCCCAAAACCGTTTGCATGTTGAAAATTAGCATATTGATAGGGTTATTCATTCACACAGCAGGGAAGGCTAATGCTGAACTGTTTTCAAAACTCTGTAATAAAAACACTGGTTGTTCAAGAATGAAGCACCTGATGTTACATGTACATAGCACAATTTTTCAGTGCATTTGAAGCAGCATGTGGCCTCACCTACTGGACCAATGTTGTATGATGTTCTTGAATGACCTACAAGGCACTTCACTTTGAGCATATACTGTTGAAATACTAAATCACTAAAAGCTATGATAAGGAAACTGCTGTATATAGAAAGAACAGATTCAATGCCATTTTCTAATCTAACTGTCACAATATAAAGCTTTTCTTACTTTTTTAATAATATAATGCATAGCTTTTTTAAGCATAAGATATTATATATATGCATCCAGTGGCGTAGCTAGGATTTTACAGGGGGGGGGCACACCAGTATCTTATGGGAGGCACCAGCTTTCAGTGGTGTGGTTTTTGGGGGCAAGTTTTTGTTAGCCTTGTTCAATATCCATTCATTGTTTTTTTTGTGTGTGGGGAATCCCCCCCCCCGGCAACGTCCTTGTATGCATCTACAAGTTCTTGTCAAACTAGAAGTATAAATAATGGATTATGTATGATGGAATTACATACATGTAACATTAGAGAATTACATCACTACAGAATTTATGTACATGTATTAAACTTACTGTATGTACAAATGGACCCATTGCTGTTTGTGAACCACACCCGCAGACAACCCTATGGAATTTTTCATGTATGTTGAATGTTGTCTCCGATTTTGCATGTCCATTTTGTAATGGACGGTATTTCACAAGCAGCTGCACTGACACACTTCTACCATGAAAGGTCAGTTGGGGAGGAATGACATCTTCAACCCTCAAAGTACAAGGGGAAAAAATATAAATCCTTGCCATAAAGGCTGTGCCGAATATCCGAGTATTCAATTGATTTTCGAACATTATCATTTGAATTTAAATGTTCAAATGCAAAATTCATGAAAAGAAAAGGAGTATTTACTTTTGTTTTAAATGAGAAAAATGGAACTGTGAAGGCTTGTTTCAAGCAGATTCAAATGAAAAGCATCAGAAATCTTACAACTATTCAAAAAGTAAATTATTCATTGAGCAATTTAAAAGAAATAGAAATTTTCAGCAAGAAGGGCAAGAAGTCTTGTTCATTTCTTAAATCTTGCGAAATCGTGGCTGAAGATACTCCTAGATGTGAGAAGCTATTATATTGACCATAATGTACAATTGTGTGTGTTATTGCAACTGATTTTGTATGTGGTTTGTTCATCAACAATCTGCCAGTTGGTATGATTGAATATTCGGATATTCGTCGAATTGAAAGTCGAGTATTCGAATAGAAAATCATTTGAATTGACTCAGCTCTATTTGCCATTAGCTTCAGGATACAGTCTGAATGTTAATAAAAGCACTCTGAATATTAAAAACCTGCTTATCACAGAACAATATGCATTGCAAGTCTTTTTTGTTTGTATCGTAAGAGTGATAATCTCAGGTTATTGTTATAACAAGGTTCAATCAAAAACCTTTTTATGGTGCTCAACTGTATCGGGTTATGCATGTAGCACTAACCGTTCATATTAGCTAAATACAAGTTTGTCTGCTTTTGATTTGTTCTGCCATTTGACATGCATTATCAGAAATTAACAAAGTAGTAGTTTAGAATACTTAGAACTTGAATCGTCCTGTCAAACATCTTTTTACAGGTACATGTATTGTTTGGCAGTATCACTAAATCAGAGCTTACCAAAGGATGTCATTGGCAGTTTCTCAAAAGATGTAGAATTTTACTTTCTACGCTGACTCAAATTTTTAAAGTTTCATGTAAATATGGTTGTCGGATTCACAAAAGATCTATGATAACGGATTTTACATCCAGTGGTTTGATTACATTTTGAACTAATAAAATTTACAACACACAGTGGCCTGCTGGTTTTATCACTTCTGACAAGTCTCCCGAGCCACATTCACAAAGCTGAGGGAGGGAGAGAACACCAGTCTTTTTCACATGTACAGTGGGCGGCTTTACCTGCTGGGTGATATTCTCCATGGGCTTTTAAGCCCGGCATATTTTGGAATGTTCATCAATCAGCAACTTGAACTCACTTTCACCTCTTGCTAGCCCTCTGTACTCCTTATCTTGCTCCTGCACTTTGACATGCCACATGTACAGAGGTTTGTATTCTGTACTTTCCTCCATCATACTCAAGTGCTCCATGCTTTTCAAAAATGTTCCAAAGTACATGAAATAGATTACCAGTCCGCTTTCATCTCGCAGTTTACCATAAAAATAATATTTTCTGTTCCGAGTTCTCTGTGGAGTTTCCATATACAAGTGATCCGTCCATACCTTCAGATGCCACAAACGTATGTTGTCATTGAGGCTGATATTTGCTATCATTAGATGAATTCTAGGTCTAGAAGCTGCACCAGCATGTAGCCCTAGGAGAACAAAGAAACTAAGTAACTTTAAAGAGTCATGGTTCCATACATCCTTCACTGAAAGCAATCTGGATAGTCTCCTTGCTGAATGTGTGAAAAACACATCCCAATTTGAAAATGGTGAAAATCCCACTGCCACCGAACCAATATGGGCCACTACTTGATGACACATGAACCAAATTTTTTTCCAAACCACATTCTATTTTTTATTAGCACTGTGTAGACGAGTGGGAAGCCCCCCCCCAAAAAAAACACTGCTGAAAAAGAAAAAAATTGGGGGGCAGAACTGAAGGAAATAAAATAACCAATTTGCTTTTTAAAAAAATGCCGAAAAAAGGACCTCTCTTTTTGTACAAATCTTACAGTTCTAGAGGTACAGTACACAAACCTACCTGTTGAACCTTTGGAGGAAGGATTTGCTGCTAACCTCCTCTCTTTACTGGAATGGGCCTGGTGCTCACCTACAGTCTCATTCGGCTCTGTGAAAGAGAAATTCCAACAAAATAACGTGGTAATTGGCTACTTCAAACTGTGTACAATATGAGCACAAATTGAGAGAAAAGTCTTCAGGACAGTGATGCAAAGGGGAGGCTTGCGTCGTAATGGTAAAAACATTCAAAAGCTTCACCTTTTCCATTCTTATGGCAGGCCTCCAGTATGGCCGAAATATAAAAAAATCCATTTGCCATCATTTCTGGGTCCACATCTCAATAGCCCCAACTACACTGATTTGTTTCAGTTAAGTTTTTTCTTTAGAGTGTAAGATTTCAATTTTCAACTTGTAGTTCTTGAAAGCATACAACCTGTCCAGTGATGAAAGAATTCAACTAAATACAACTGAATAGTAAGTCCAGTGAACTCTTTGAATGAATGCCTCACAGGATCCTGCATTTAAGCTCTTTGGTATTTCTTTTGTTTAGTTTCCTTTGTAAAGTTGTGGGTACATAAAGCCTGGAATGCCCAGATTCATTAGAGTGCCAGATTTACAGGTGGAAAGAACTTGGACTGTAGAGTGAAGTGTGGGACTATGATGCTAGCTGGGACAGTACTGAAGTACCAGCCAAGCACACTAGCTGCACGCCCAGCATAGCACCACACCCACCATAATGTGTCAGAACCTTGTCAAAGTGTTACTTTGTTATTTCTGCTTGGTTTATGTCATTCGTCTGACCATACAGCTTCATGGTCTGACTGCTGTCTGACTGCCGTAATATTTAATCAGGCTGGTACTGGCGACACAGCCTGCTTAAACCATCAGCTGTACTTTTCCTGTCCCTCTGTGGATGGATATATATACAAGATCACAAATAATCAAGCTTGATGCTGTTCCAATTGCAAGCTACCAGACTCGCATTGACCTCATTATCAGCCTACATGGGCCACTGAAGCTACTGGCAGCCATCTTATAGTGCCCAACGCCAAGGTAATTCATTGGCCTGCTTGCAATTGTTAATCAAATCATTTGTGGCAACGAAAGTTTTAATGGCTTGCAAGCCACTAACATCTTTGTATTTGCCACTTTAAGATGGCTGCCAGTGGCTTCAGTCAGTACAAGACCACTTGCAAGTCCAAACTGTTGTAAAATGGCACCTGTGGGACTCTCCTGACACTGACATTTTTGGCATTTTTGTACTGGGTGCAACATCCAGAGATCAAGTTCTGTAGCATGGGGTGGGGCGACTGAGAAAGACTGAGTAAACTCGAACCACCCAACACATTTACTTAGCCCATCAGATAAGTGTTAATAATTACCGTTCTGGGTTCTCCTTTTCACACTTTTAACTTGGCTCCTTTGCTGCAGAGCAGGTGTCTTGTTTGTTCCTGAATCAAAAAGAAATGACTTGAAACAAAGTGGGACAAGAACAGCATGGCCTAATTGCTCCAACATGTGTAAATAAATTCATTCGCATGCGCTTTTGGCATATCGCCACACCCTAATAGTCGATGTAGCATGTCGTGTACCCGTGCTACCTATTTACGCACATTGTGCCACCGCAGTAATGGCTTCTAATTCAGGTTCTCGAATTACATTATATCCCGCAAGACATGAAACCGAGAAGTACTCCCTCAGCATGTCCAATTGCTATACACAATCTATTGTTACATTAACACATCTCCCTAGATGTCTGAAAAGAATTTCTAGGATTCCAGCGAAACAACGACCAAAATAAAGCCGGGGGGAGGGTTCTCTCTGTCTCATATCTTGCTTCCTATGAGCCTGTGAATATGAATATGGTGTATCTACAGTGCATACTTGCATTATGTACTTGTACATATGTGTACGTGTACGTGTATCGTACTGTTTATTCAGTGGTTACTTGCCATGTTATAGGAAATGTTACCCAGTACCCACTGCAAGGGGTCTATTAGAAACTTTTAACATCTGGGGATTCAATTGCTTCATTAAATATTTAAGGCATAAGTACTACATGAGATTCTGGTGTTGAAAAAATACCTAACTGAAACAAACAGAAATGACGCATAATTACCCATGCACACAAACAAAACTCACATTAGGCCAAACAAAAAATACCCTAGCTGTGTTTTGAGCTACCCATCCCAACCTGGAAAAACATGCAGAACCTATATCTTTTTATTCGACAAATCAATAAAATATAAAACTTATGGTGCCTTGCCCCGAGCCTAATTTTGTGGACATCATCTTGTACATTGTATTGTTTAATTTTTTTTTTTTGCATGAGATGGATGGCTCTTGCGTGTTTCTATTTCAACAACCACATACTACTCAATCACAATACTGACATATTGACGTTCACATGTACAGTGTTAATTTGACACTAATCTATTACCTGTTATGAGTATACACGCCCAACCCCACCCCCCAAATATAGACCATCATCCAACCTTAATTTTTGGGGATTATAAAAATTTAGATTAAAAAAATTTTTACCCAACCAACCACCCTAATTTATTTTTCAAGTTTAATTTTTTGTTTGGCCTTGTAATGCAAGATACAAATGGCTGGGAC